ATGGGACGGTTTTTTATTGTGTTCTGTCAATCTGGTTTCCAATTTTCTCCGGTTTCTCCGATGTAGAATTCTGGGCAGTTATTGCATGTTATTTTGTAAATGGCGTTGGTATTGTGTGATTCTAAATAATTTTTGTTTAGTAACGATTTTAATTTAGGGTTGGGTTTTTGTGAGAATTTGGCATTGACAGGAATATTGTGTTTAATGGCTAGTTTTGTCCAAGTGTAGATAATTCTTGAGCTGGTTTCAGGAACAAAGGGTAAACTGCAGTGTAATGTACTGTTGTTGGGTTTGTTAGTATCAATTTTGTTCGTGAGTTGAGTTTTGTTGGAGAGTTTTCAACAATAACTGGTGGGAATAAAGAAATGCTTTATGTGGTTAATTTCTTCATTTATAGATAGATAAACCGCCATCTAGTGTACCTAAATTCATCTAGAAATTTTCATAAAAGTGACCCGAAAAACGGGGCTAACTCGGTAACCCGATTTTAACGAAATTTGTTTTATTCTGTTTCTATTCTCATTTCATTACTAATATCGCAGTATGGTGCACCGTTATTGCTGTATTTAATTACAGACAAGCCCACAAACAAACAATCTCAGAGTTTTAGTAGTATATAGATTACTAAAGTGATCGACTTCTCTTGCATTAAACAATAGGTCATGAATTCAATTGTCGTTTATTACACTCTTGTCTTCATGAAGCTACATTATGAATAGGGACGATGTTTGGAAATAAAGATAATCCAAAAGCAGATGATCATTAAGATGTGACAGAGCTTTTATTATTTGGGCTAAGTCCAAATAAACAAAAATAATGTGTTTCAAGTAGCCCGACCTACCTTGATTTTTTTAAATGTAAAATGTTTATATATAAAACTGACCTTCCCCATTTTTGACACAAAATGTGGAGATAGAATCAAAACACGGCGCATATAGCATCGGCAAGATTCGTTAACAGTTTCAAGTCATTTTAATAGCTTTCGCTCAGAATAAGCTATGTACAGTAGAAAAGACTGGTGGGAAAATGTTAAAACACGCGTCTATAACAATTTTTTTTATTACTTGCAACGTTTCGGGCAGGAAGCCTTTTGTTACATGGGGGAAAAAAGGGGCTTCTCTCCGAAACTTTGAAAGTAATAATAAAACAAAAGTTTTTGTTAATGATTTGTTTTAAATTTTTTTTCAACAGTATAGAAAATCAAATATATTATTCTTACTTATATATTTATTAAGATTAGAATGTATTGTTCCATCCGTTGTATACCCTCGCTGCTATGGATATTTGCAAGCTTAGGAGATTTAACTTAAACTTTAATTTAACTTAAGTTAGTCCAAAATTTAAACTAACAATGCAAATCAATTTTTATAATAAAAGAATAATAGCAAACGTCAATATAAAATAGAACAAAACTAAATACTTTAAATATGGTAACTATTATAACCAATTTTATTAATGATAGGAATAATTTCTCAGATTGTTTGTTTGGGTTGATACGCATTTATATACTACGTGCATAGGCTGGTACATATCTGAAAATGGTCACCATATTGCATAACAAGTTCACTCGTATTCCGAACTGCTTACTCTGCCTTTACGTTACAAAAATCTTTATAGAGTTGCTTTAAACCAAACAAATTGCTTTATTTTATTCCCCCTGCAATTTTTGCCTTCGTTGTACATTATAAATTATGAGATGTTTCTCTTAGTTGATGTGATTTTCACCGAGGTTTTTCTATAAAGAAGGCTTGAAAGTTATGCTTATATAATCGCTAATATGAAAAGGCCTTATAATTATATTGTTACGTCTTCGTTTGTTAATTAACTTTCCGTAACTTCGTTCCGACGAAATTTTAACGACACAAGTCCTTTCTTAATAAAACTGATTTATTCTTTCCGAATATAACTTTACCGATACACTCAACTTCAATATTCGCGCTAAAACAAACACTATAACGAACGAACGTTAACTTCAACAATACCCTGTGACTGCAGTTCAATTACTCACTATCTACACACACATTACATTACCTTAATCTCGCGTCACGTTGTCCCCTCTTATATATACCAAACTACCCTATATCTAGCAAATACAAGAGGATTCGCCAAGATACGGGATAGTTCTAGAAACGTGGCGTCACTGTAGTCATGTGATCTCGATGACGCAACAATATGATTAAATTTGGTTGTGCTGAAGTTTCCTTATGATTGACACTAGAAAGACACGAAATGACGTATGTATGTTTTTCGTTGCTTGAAATGTAACCTTCACTTGTTCTTATTTATATAGGTAGTGGCTATTTGTTGATGTGTGTGTGTGTGTGTGTGATTAACTGATTATTTATTTTCCTCTGTTTATAGCTGTCACATTTAATATAGAATTAAACAGTTATGCTTTCATGCAGAATTGTAGCAAAAATTCACAGAAACGAATGTTTCGAAAATAAAAACAAGTATAAAAAATTACCTTGTTTTCCCTTTACATCAATGTTAGTTATGATAAACATGCTTTCACATCAAAACTTTGTTCCTACAACTGTATTACGTGTTTTACCTCACGTACCTAGTTTTACACCACAGTAAAGAAAGCTCTCTCTATCTTTTATGTTATTTATTAATTAATTTATAATTTATTTAATGACCTATTATTATTATTGTTACATCTAGTTTTTTCACACCAAGTTCCCATTATAAAATAAAAAAAAAGAGGGAATTTCGCTCAAGACTGCTTATCGCTCTCAACACTGGTATATAATCGCACAAACTAAGTAAATTAATCCGAGCCAACTACTGTATTCTCGAAGTTAATTAAAATATTAATTAGAAAGTTAATATTTTTAGATACAGTCGCTGAGAAAAACAACTTAATATATATATATATCTTAATAGAGTGAAGTTAAACCATAATAGGCCCAACACTATATAAAACCTAATTTAGTATAAAATTCGACAATCCAAGTAAATTGACTATTCAATTATCAAAATAACTCTATAAATTAGTTAGAATATTCGTAAGAAATTAAGAAGAATATTAATTGATCATTAACTAAACTACAAAATCCTGATAGGTTAGCTTCAAATCTCTCAAAATGTAAAAAGCCAATCATATGAAAGAAAATTTTAAAGAGGCGTTAGTTTCATTAATTAACCAGAAATCTAATTATCTAGAGGAATGTCATTACACAAAATTAATAAACCGTTCTTAATGCTTTAAATGGATATAAAAATGAATATTTCTTGCAAAAAATAGCTGAACTTTCGGAGTGTGTATCGCTTCATAATGTCTCGATTTCTGGCCTTTCAATACGTAGCTTACAAGTAAAATTGGTTTGTTTCTATATAGATCATATAGATATATACTTTTCCACATCTCTTGATCAATCAGCACCAAACTTGATATAGGATAAGATGAGGGAGGGGTGGATCTTTTCCATCTAATTTCATACTGTTATGATCTTAATTAAGCTTCATTTGAAAACCAATTAAGCTTAACTTAACATGTACAGTTTATTTACATTTAACTTCGTGTAAAGTTGTACAGTTTATTTATATTTAACTTAGTGTGAACATGTACTGTTTATTTACATTTAACTTCGTGTAAAGTTTATTTACATTTAACTTGGTGTAAAGTGTACAGTTTATTTACATTTAACTTGGTGTAAAGTTGTACAGTTTATTTACATTTAACTTGGTGTAAAGTTGTACAGTTTATTTACATTTAACTTGGTGTAAAGTTGTACAGCTTATTTACATTTAAATTACATAATAAAACTATAGTTCTAATACCTTATCTGTATTGACAAATAAAGTTTTCAAATCTTAATGGTCTATAGATAGCAGTATTTCTATTTCTGTGACATTCTAAAGTAATTAGTAATTAAAATTATTAGAGTCCTGCTCTTTACCACTGCACTATATAAAATGTTCATGTCCTTCACTTACATGTACTTGTAATATGTTGCTGTAACATTTTCCATCCAGCTTATGTAATAAACACTGAAGCACACATCTACCACAACGTCAGTTAGACAAAATCTTTTTTTATTTCAATTCCTAACTTTTGAACTGTTTATTACAGCTTGAGACACTTGCTCTGGAATATTGTTTGAAGTTCAAGTAACAGATGAGTTATATGTTATCACTACAGTCAAATAAAAGTCAATATTAAAGCCAGTAACAGGAGAGAAAGTCCTGTGATCTAGGGTTTTCTCTAAGGCTTTTCTGAGCGACTGAAAATTATTGGATTTATTTCTAACTAGTTAAAATGTTATTCTTCACTGTGTAAACTAAAAACTTTAAGCCAAGTTAATGTTTGGGTAGTTTAACCAAATACAATTTTAGTTATAAACTTATTGATTAAATTTTTCAGCACAAAAAATTGAGCTTTAGGATTGAAATGTAAAAATACTGATAACCCCATTCTTCCTCTGAAAATTATTTCACTAAGTGTTGGTGTCTCCAGAACACACCAAACATTTTTACGAAATACTACTTTTTTATAAAACCCAGTTGATTTTCCTTACGAGTGGTCTAGGTATCTAAGAAGCTGCTAACATACAAGGTTAGTCTGATTTTCTAGAGTTATTCTTTTCTTTTTGCTTTGTATCTGATACACTGTCATCTGCTAAATGAAAATCCAGGGGCTTGTCATACCCCATTAAATGTTTGAAAATTTGTGGGTCTTCAAAAGATTGCGAGTCTACAAACAGGGGTACTCCATTTACAACAAAACTGGTAAAAACTCCAGGCAGATCTGGCACATGAACATCTTCAGCTGTGAACAATATGTGTTTTTTCCTGTTCAATAGAGTGAGAACTGTTGCCGTAAAAACCCGAGTGCTTGGATCAAGACTTAGTTCCACAACATAACGCTTTGTTATCCAGTGAAGTAGAATAGGTGTAACAAAAATAAAACAAGTAAAGAATGACCCTATAAGAAGACCAGCAAGTGGACTGAAAGACAAGTAACTTTTTAATAGAAAAGGCTGCAGTGCTATTCCTATGGCACTTGTGGAAATAGAGAAAAACTTTACAACTCTAATTTGTTTTGCCAGAGGTCCAACATATGCAGGTTGCACAGCACTGTTCTTTGTTGTGCTAAGGTTCTTTCGTAAGAAACCAACAACTCCAGCACATGGATCTTGAAGCCTTGGATTAATGTGGTTCGTCTTCTGAAATAATTAAAAATAAATAAATCTCCCAAACTATGTTTTGAATATTATAATATAAGAGGCTATAGCTCAATTGTTTTAGCCTACTGAGGAAAACAAAAATTCAACAACCATCTAATTAACTGTAAATAATATCTTTGGGCCAATCAAATAAATTTTCAATGGATTTACTAACATAACTTGTAGCATTTAATTAATAAAAATAACACAACTTTTATAATTCTGTTTTATAAGGTGTACCTCTCGTATGAAGTATGTTTCCACTGTCACTTCTTCCTGGGTGACAAATAGAAATACTTCATTAAAAACAATCACACTTTATGTCTTCTGTCTCTTGTCTAGTTTGTATAAAACTAAGGCCATCTTGTAATTCATTAAAACCCTGTATTAAACACTATTACTGAAAAATAGTTTTATGATTTATTAAGAAAATACAAATAATTATGTTTTAACAAATAACTTGATTGACATTTCATGCATCCAGTAGGGCAAATTATTAATTTTTCCTTTTTATCTCAAAACATTATTTCCAGTTTACACTATCTCCATTTTGTTGACTTGAACAGAAAGAATGAAATCTAAAATAAGCCTACTTTTTAACTCTGTTCACAAAATGAACACAAACATACAATGGTGCAGTTAAAACAAATGTTTCTCAATTACATGCAACTTAATCTATAATACTAGCATTATTGTTCCAGAAAGGTTGACCTTACAGTAGTTAATGTTACCAGTAAAACTTACAATAAACAATTAAAAACATGTAATTAGCAAATATGTTTATTACATATAACATATCTCTTGAAATCTGTAACAACAAAAACTTCAAAATAACATAAATAAATTTACTCCTATCTAAATAGTGGTCACTGAGATCCAATCAGTTCATGATCAAACTCACTTGTGTCACATTAGAACAAGCTGCATGCCTTGATGCTATGTCTTATTAGTGTCATGTATTTCACTTGTGTAGCTCATTAGGACAAACTGCATGTCTTGATGCTATGTCTTACTGGTGTAATATATGTTATTTATGTAGCTCATTAGGACAAGCTGCAGGTCTTGATGTTATGTCTTATTAGTGTCATGTATTTCACTTGTGTACCTCATTAAAACAAGCTGCATGTCTTGATGCTATGTCTTATTAGTGTCATGTATGTTATTTATGTAGCTCATTAGGACAAGCTGCAGGTCTTGATGTTATGTCTTACTAGTGTCATGTATTTCACTTGTGTAGCTCATTAGGACAAACTGCGTGTCTTGATGTTATGTCTTATTAGTGTCATGTATGTTATTTATGTAGCTCAAGCTGCACGTCTTGATGCTATGTCTTATTAGTGTCATGTATGTTATTTATGTAGCTCAAGCTGCACGTCTTGATGCTATGTCTTATTAGTGTCATGTATTTCACTTGTGTACCTCATTAAAACAAGCTGCATGTCTTGATGCTATGTCTTACTGGTGTCATATCTTTCACTTGTGTAGTTCATTAGGACAAGCTGCAGGTGTTGATGCTTTGTTAACTAATGTCCTGTATTTCACTTGTGTAGCTCACAAAGAAAAACTGCAGGTCTTGATGCTATAGTGTGAAGAGAATAATAGATCTCTCTATTTATTTAGACTAGTATAACATTTCAGCAAAATTCCAGCTTATCAGATACCTTCAATAAACACTATTATTACCAAGTTTTTGCTAAACTTGTTAAAAATAAATACACAGCAAAATCAGAAATATTCTACATACCTTTTAACACAACAACAAAAAAAAAACAGTCTGTGTAAGAAATTACACATTAGTTAAGAAAATTATTTTCTTATCAAGTTTTGATGCTAATGGATTAAAACTGTTGCAGTTCAAAAATTGAAACAGAAAAATCAGTAAAATATAATTATTTTCAATACAGTTTAACCAGTTCATGATCATTATGTTCCCATCTAATGGTCTAACAAGTTACTTAAATTCACCATTATAGTTTGTAAATTAAACTACTTTTACAACAAAAGCATCATAAGAGGACATAACATGGAATGGGTTATCTTCAGATGTTGTATAGACAGTAAATTTAAATGAGTTACAGAAAGATCTTGATAAGTATATGAATGAAAAGGGCTGGGTTTAAAATGTTTTTTCATTATAATTTTTTATTCATTTTAATTTAGTTTTGAGGATGGAACAGCCAAGATGGACCAATAGGTCCCAAAATATTATGTTAACATACATTTTTCCATTTATTCAGCAGAAACATTGAAAAGTAAATTTCCAGCACTTCATTAGACAACAAAGTAAGTCATAGCCTAAAGTAAATGTTAGGCTAATAATAATAACAAAACTGTGAATTTTATGAACAAGTCTAGTATAGTGTAATTCTAGGGTTGAATGTCAGACAGATCTTAACTTTACACTATAATAACTTCTTTATTCTACACTAAGAATAACAGAAATGTTAATAACAATATTTATTTGAACTTTCACAAGTAAAACAAAATACACTCACAATTCATAAATGTCAGATGCTCAAGAACATAAAAAGTTGGATATTACTTAAAAATAAGTTTGAAGTGTTGTGAAATTATTGCTGTTGTATTATCAAGTAGGTTTTTGTGATAAATTTCCAAATTTTCTTTTTCCTAACCTCTTGTGCCAAAGTTAAATTTCTGAAATTGTGTCAAAATTATATTATTGAGTTAAAAGTTCCTTGAAGTTTAGATGTGTGGTTTGTAAAAATCTGGACTGAGAATTTTTAAGTGTAAATTTATTTTGTATAACTTGTGTAAGTTCAAATAAATATTATTTTGTGTTTATGAATACTGGCATTAATATTTCAATTATTCTTAGTGTACAATAAAGGATTTTTACAATACAAGTTACAGGATAACAGTGGTCAACAATTATATTATTTACATAGTTAAAGAACTAATTATCCATTTTTCTGTATAAAAACTGAAAATTTACAAACCACAGTGAAATAAACTAAACCTGATGTCTTGTAATTGCCGGAATATTCAACAAAGTTGGCAACCTTACAATTTTGTTTTTAACTTTACTGACACAAGTAACACCATTAATATTTTTCAGATTTCAAGGTTTATGATACTGTTATTTATTTATCTATTTTTTACAGCCAACTAGCAACTTTCAACTGTACTAAACACTGTTATGGAAAAAAAGAGAGTATAATTCTTTAAAAATTAAACATATTTTAAGATGTCTCTCATTCTATTTTAAATATTAAAAACATCAAAAAGGAATTCCTTTTTTGGTCTTTTTTTCTGGTTCATAAGAATATCAAATTGGAGCATTTGGAACCAATATACAATTGTTTTTATAGTAACCTGTATACACACGACACAAAAAAGTGATGTTTGAATCCATTTGTCCTTATGGAATCAGAGCATTTACAATGACAAAACCTTGAACTTATATTGTTATCATATATCATGAACTAAAATTTTATTCATTGGTAGCATTATTCAAGAAAAATTGTTTTTGCTTTATTCCAAAAGATTAAATTGGGTGTATCTAGTACAAGAGTAAACTTCACATTTAATCAGTAGAGGTCACCACTAGCACTGCTGAGTATCCAATACTGTTACCCTTAAAACAATCAGCCAGTATGGATGAAGTGCAAGTTCATGATAGTGATATGTTTTTTTTCAAGTGTTGTGTGGTAGTTTTTCTTGTCATCAAATATACTGTCATTTATATTTCCACATGTTTGGCTATACCAATTTTGACAATAAGATTAAACCTTTATTAGTCTGTAATTAGTTGTTTTTTCTATCATTTCACGTGTTTTCCGTTTGTTTTCATTTTTCGACGATGAAATCCTGCCATAGGGGATAGCATCTTATCTAAATACACTTACACTATCCTGCATACACAGAAAGTTGGCACTTGAGAATTGATTGGATAATTTTGGTACAGATAGTGAATGAACAGTCTGAATGTGAATGAATAAACACATTATCCTCTTAAGTTAAAAACAATTATATATTGATTCCAAATACTCTGATTCAGTGCTTTTGTACTCCAATTCGGTGTTTCATGCTCCATTTTGGTGTTTTTGCATACCCATTATTTTCAGGTTTTCTCACTTATCATAAAAAAATTAAAAACGTCACGAAATATATTTTCTGTTTCTATAAGAAGTATTTCTCTTCCATTTGAATGTTTAGTTTATCTGAAATCATGTTGTGTTACTAATAATAGTAGAATAACTTATTAAACTTACAAGAACCGGTGCCTTACTACTTTTATCCAATTCATTATTAGCCATGGATTCGTATTCGTTGATAATTCTACCGTTATATGCAGAGTAATACCTTGGCAACAGTTGATCATAAGGTTTGAAATTGATAGCAATGAATTTGCCTCGAATGTACGACATACACTGACGATAAGTAAGCTTGGACTTAAATATTATAGACTTAAAGTTAGGCCTATCAAGATGCCTCTCACCAACAGAAAACCTCATATGATTCACCAACATACGACGTTCGAGAAGTCTATTTCGGTACAAAGTAAGCATATTATCTGCTGGTACTTCTCAAAATACGCTGTTTCGTAAATTATATTGATCAATACCATAAGCTATATTCAGATCTAATAGTTTCACTAGTATTAGGCCTAATAAAAGTATGTATAATAATGCCATAAACAGGAAATGGATGTCATATCGCTCGCTACCTGACGTCTCAGTAAGAAACTAAATTGTTGCCAGTAAATACATCATGTTTTAGTGGACCATAAAAAAAAATGTATTTAATGTAATACTATGATGCTGTAAAATATGAAATAATTTCATGATTATGGATTTAATAAATATATATCCAAGAATAATGATATATTGAAACGAAGAAAACAAAGCCAATGAGACGAAAGCCACTGTAATTTAATAAACGTAAAGGTGGTTCGATAGATAAAAACCCACAATCTAAATAATTTTGAAAGTAAAATAACTAATATTTTTCTCTCTTAAGTTAGGAGGTACTCATATTTTCTGTTTAATACATCTACGTTTTATTAATGAGACTAGAAACAAGCACGCCAACTACAGGACTCTGGACCAAGCGAAGTCGTCCCATATTCCAAGCCTCAAATTCGACAAAATGAACAACAATGTACTGTAGGGGGAATTTGATGCAAAGGGGAAAATTCCCCTTGAATTCAAAACTGCTAGCCAGTGTTATAAGATTGTTGTCAGAAAAAAAAACCTCGTTGGAAAAGTCGCCAAATTTCAGTTACTATTATATACACTTAACCTACTGAAACTTCGGTATTTTCTTGGTAAGTTCCCAGTGATACTAACAAGAACTCTGTTGCTTATTTGAAACTATGTGAACAAAACTGCCACAAAACTAAAACAAGATTCCTATACCAGTTTTCAAATCATATTTAGGGAATGGTTATTACTTATAGAAGGGTGAGGTGGTGGAGATAATGGTGGGACATAACACTACTGCTCGACTGACAATCTGAGGGTCGCGGGTTCGAATCCCCGTCACCGAATATGATCGCCCTTTCAGGAAAGCCGTGGGGGGCGTTATAATAAGCGGCCAATCCCACTATTCGTTGGTAAAAGAGTAGCCCAAGAGTTGATGGTGGGTGGTGTTGAGTAGCTGCCTATCACTACTAAAGTAGAGATGGCTAACACAGATAGCCCTCAAAACAAACTATAATGTTGCATTTTGGAGCGGGATAAGTTTTAGTTGCGCCAATGTTGTAAAGTAGCTTTTTCAAATAAAATATGAGTTCTTTACGACGTATATTGGTACGAGCGTATAGCCCGTCAAAAATTTCGGAGCAAGTACTACCACCCCAAACACTAACCTTGCATTTCATAGCTAACTGAAAAACTGAGACAGAAAAGTGGAGTCGAGGCTGTCAAACGTCGGTTGTGAGCCAATCAAAATTAAGACCATTCATGAAATGAATTCGTGACGTATTCCTAGAATAATTATTGGTAAAAATCAGTTAGATAAACAACTTCTAATATATTTGTTTCTTTGTTTGAAGTTAAGCAGAGAGCAACACAATGGGCTATCTGTGCTCTGCTCACCACGTGTGTCGAAACCAGGTTTCTATCGTTGTAAGTTCGCAAACATGCCGCTGTCCCACTGAGGGGCATTCTAATATATTGTTACATCTCTGGTCGTTAGTTAACTTCCCGTATAATCTCTTTCCGATGAAACTTTAGCGACACAAGTTCTTTCTTAAATAAAACTGGTTTATTCTTTCTAAATACAACTTTGCAATACACTTAATTTTCACAGTCACGCTATAACAAACACTATAATTCACAACGAACGACTCACGTGCTCGACTCAACAATACGTCTCTCTCTGTCCGCAGTTCAATTACATTGTTGCCGTCAGTTCTTACCGGTCTAAGATATACAAGAATATCGCATATCTAGTAACCTCCCGAGACTTCAGGAAGGGACGTGAACGTTCTAGAAGTTCAGGAAGAGTTACTCTCGTCA